GCAGGATAGCCAGCTCCAGTGGAAGGACGACCCTCAGAATATCCAGAGCTAGGGATGCTGCCCGTGGAGTGTCCGGAGGATGGGTAGGTGCTTCCAGCTCCAGTGCCTTCCGAATACCCAGTTCCAGGGAAGGTGCTCGCGGAGTGGCCAGTGGAAGGGAAACTAGCGCCGCTGGAAGGGCCCTGGGAAGACCCCGCAACAGGGTAGCTGCCCGTCGAATGCTCCGACGAAGGATAGCTGGCTCCCGAAGTACTTCCAGAAAGTCCCGAGCCAGGAAAGGAGCCCGTTGACTGCCCAGTGGAAGGATAGGTGCCCTGGGAGGGGCTCTTGAACTGGCCAGAGCTAGGATAAGTCCCTGCGGAGTGCCCAGATGAAGGGTAGGTAGCTCCAGAAGAAGAGCCTCCAGAGTATCCGGTACTGGGGTAAGAACTCGTTGAGTGGCCAGTGCTAGGGTAGCCGTTGGTTGAGGGCTCGCTCGACTGTTCACTGGGGTAGCTGTTGCCAAATGGTCCTGTTGATTGTTCACCTGGGTACACAGATCCGGAGCCAGAACCAGGATATTGTCCACCAGTCGTGGAACCACTAGGAGTGTATCCTCCTTCAGAAGGAGCTCCAGTAGATTGGCCATACGGGTACTGGCCACTTGTACTCTGAGAATGACCCCCGAAAGGCGTTGTACTAGACTCACCAGGGTACTGTCCGCTCGAAGGGTAGCCCTGAGATTGCTGACCTCCAGGAACACCAGTGTGTTGAGCGCCTGGGTACTGGCCAGTCTGGCCACCAGGACTGCTAGTAGGCTCACTATTGGAAGGAGCAGACGTGTGGCCAGTTGGGGTGTATCCCACATAATATCCATCTTCGTAAGCAGAGCTTGTATCGATGCTACCGGGGTCTTGGCTGCTCGGGGCAGAACCCTCCGAGGGCGGGCCTCCAGAAAGACCGCCGCTAGGTGACACACCTTCGGTTTGCCCGTATGGCGGGAATCCCTGGGAGGACTGGCTTTGAGGTCGTCCAGCGCCAGCAACTTGTCCGGCCGGAGCGCTCACTGAGGTTTCCGTGGGCCTGGAAGCGACCCCATTGGCTGGGGGAGCGTTGACAGAAAAGGGCCCATGGACGAGCTGGTTAGGAGCGGGAGTCGCGACAGGCCGTGGGACTCCGCTGGAAGCCCCTGACGGGAGGCTAAATGGGGTGCCCGAAGGAGTGGCTATGCTGCTGCTGCCAGGAGCCTGTTCCTTATTCCCGTAGGAACCAAAAGAAAAGGGGAATCCGCTCCCGAAAGGATCGGTGGGCCATTGGGGCTGGCTACTCGGATAAGCAGCCCGTTTAGCATCCGGGTTGTGGACAGGGACAGCGAGAATAGAGCTGCAGAACGACAGGATAATTGCCGCTGTTTGGGCCTTCATGATGACGCAGGCTGGTTGATGACTGCTCTGAATACTCAAAAACACCGACTAAACCAGACTTAAAAGGAGCAACAAGCGAAAAACAGCAGAAACAAGGGTCGACTGGGATGTGAATGAGAACCGCATAACCGAAGACCAAGTGAACAGGCCTTGGTTTATATACCGAAAAAGCCCGCTTGATCACGAAATATGATATGCCGATGAGGCATAGCGAATGAACTGCCTGGACTGAGCCCAGCACACATAGCTAAACCGTGGACGGCCGCATTCATTTGGCAAGCCATATTCGCAAGCAACTCTGTTGTGGAAGAGGCAATACAGTGTATGCCGCACTATTGGACAATTGTGGGAACATTGCGCTTGTTGGAATCCCCTTCATTGTTCATACTGGCTTTTAGGCTGTTCCTAGTAATGTTTGCAAGGGTGAGGAATCCTCGAACTTGGTTTGTGTAGCACAATTTCCTCCCATGGGTGTGATGGAGTTCCGAGGAATGTGACCACGAAGGGATGCGTACTAGGTAAGAGGGCCTCAGTCCGCCGTTAGTTGACCATTTTCAGACATGAGCTACATGTATCAAGGTCCAGCTTCACGGGAAACATACCGATGTATGCGAGGGGTTATAGGATCAAAGGTGCGTACCAGTATCGCGCGCGTCCTCGTGGAGGCATACCCCTAGATTCCTGCGCAAATGCATCTCAAAACGTGTCAGATCGGGACCCCTTGGTCCCTGCCTCGTAGCTGCCCCACTGCCTGTCTCGCATCACATATGGATAACAGCCAAGTTACTATTATACAAATAGTAGGGCCGTGCAACTTGAAGTGTATTCATTCGATCTATCTAGCCCGCCATGCTGCGCCTGCAGTCCTGTTGTTGCTCTTAACGTCTCAGCATTTATCACCTTGTATACAAGGCATATGCGCAACCTTATAATGTGTAGAATCCGATGAAATCATAACAGCATTTCCAGAGAAGGCCTGGAACAGTGTATGTTGGTCTGAGTCCGAACCTAGCCATTCTTGGTCGTTCGTGGCTGTGTTTATAGCGCGAACTGACTGCTAGCGATGATAAAACTTTAGCTGGCGTATTTCCACATAGAGTGATTTCCAGACTCACTGCCATGATACCTCAATAATAGACGAAAATGTGGGTAGGCTGCTTCTCACATTTTTGAATCAATTGCCTTAACGCCGACAATGCCCATTTTGGCTGTTGGATGTAGCAATTCGCTAATTCCAGTAATTGCTACTCAACCTTTACCTGTTTCGAGCTCGTTCGGCGTGGGCATTGTGAGGTAGATCATGAAGAGATCGTGAAGGTAGTGAGTCACAAAGCCCCGGCGAGAACCCAAGTATGGCGGGAAGATTCAACACCATCTCTTGTCCATCTGACAAGACTGCTGTTTTATTCCCGACCAGCCTGTCACCCATTTCTGAATAAACTCGTTTAGCCACTTATCTGAAGCCTGCCTAGATGACTTTCCACATCCCTAGTATGTATCAATGGACTTATTAGCGTCAGCACATCGGCAAGCTGACACGAGCTCCCGCAGCTAGGACGCATAAATACCGGCGTCACGGAGCCTCCAAGAATTCCGGGGTACTGATGGGTCACAGGCTTATTGGAGTGGAGACTGCTCGCGCGTGTTACCCAGGATTAGCTTGAACACTGGAGGATATGGTGTTCGGCCTTCGAGTGCATAAGCCCGGTACTTTTGCTAGACCCAAATTCTAGCTCTTGATGCTAAGCATGGAAGAGCGTAAATAAGATGTGCAGGATGCAGAACTAGTTAGATGAATGCAATAAATTCATATACGTCGGGCTCTTTCATCTCTATAGACGGCGCAAACCCAGTCTGGAAGCACCGAAAGAGACATTGTGCAACTATCTGAAAGGGTGGCATCTTGTCTGTGCTAGAGGTGAAAGACACGAGAAACCATGTAGCAAAATATTGGGCCGCGAGCTTTAACGAAGATGATTAGTATCTCTGGTGCCCATATAAAGCTCTTTGAGCTGGCATGCCGCCTCACTGCCATACAGAGAGAAACCGTACCTCAATAACTTTCAAACAAGGCATACCATATCCCACAATCAGCATCAATTCTACCCATGGAAGATTGAATGATTCGTCCATGGGTTGAGATGCATGGGTCAATTGAGTACAATTTGAGAAAGCTAAGACTGATCGATAATGGAGATGTTCAAAGCGGGAAACTTCCTCTTGACAGGTGATGTAGCAGGTGGTCACATGTCTGTTTGTCTCTTTTCTCTGTCAACAATTTCTTCTTGGATGTGCGGCTAGCCTACCTTCCATTCATCAAATACCGTTATACCTTGAGTTCTAGAGACCATATCGAGAGTATGGCAACCGCTGCACCTCAAATCGTCGAGCTCCCTTGCTCTGCGTATCCAAACTGATTCTACTCAGTACCCCATGGCGGATACTCTCTGGAACGCCCATCCTCAGCTATAATTAGCATGTCTGACGCACAATTGTTGGTCGTGCAGTCCTCTGATTATCCTTGACACACACGTACAAACACGCGTTCAGACAGACTCTAACAGGAAGGAAGCAAAATTCAATAGGTGAGTTCGTGCGTCGCCACGATATGACCTATCCAGTACCCGCCATAGCTGTGCGGTGTGATGTGTACGACGTGATTATCTACCGCTGTCCATCTCCGGCAGCAAAGGAGCGGGAGAGCAGTAAGCGGTGTTTCCCAATTTAACATGCGTATATGCACACTTACAGGACAATTATCGTTGACTTTTCTCTTCCAGAGTCCAGGATCGCACAATAACAGTCGACGGATCATCAGATGAAATCTCGGATATGCTTGTTTCACCAAAATCCAACACGCGTCATCCACATACAAGGTTGAATCTAATGCCATCACTGATTCTCACCGTCTCGATTGTTTGGTGGCTTTCATATTATCTGGAGGGCCAACATGCTGTCGGGTCCAGATCACTCATTTTCAGTTAGCACTAGTGAAACATTTGCATACTATGCAGCCTGTGCTGAGTAGCTTGCAGCACTAGCGTCTCGAAACCTTCTGTAAAATGCACAAGCTTCCTTCCATGACTATCCGACATTATTGTTGCGCTTTAAGCTAATCTTTGACTGAAAACCAATCCGGCGCACCGTCATGGGAGCCCCTGCTGGTGAAACAAAACGTCATAAACCCGAAAGGCGGAAAGGAGGGGCTATCCTCGTTCTCCTTCGAGGGGGAGAGCACGCCCTGCAACACGAGGTGCCCTATCTTTGCCGGGCGCGGATCCTCCTTTAGTCTGGGTAGACGGTTATTGAGTTTTACCATGCAGTTGCCGTCAAGATCTGCCCACTAGGCGCGTCCCATGCATATCAAAACTCCTGGAGCCTCCCTAGAGAAGGATATCGGGAGTACAGGACTGAAGGTTCGAGGAGGCGAACAGATCATCTGCAGCCCCCCTCGCATGCACGCCAGACCCTTGGCACCAGGCGTGCCCGAAATAGACGACTTTTGGCTTTCCTTCATCTGTTACTTGCCTTTCTCTCTTCCTATCGATTGGTGTTACAAGGAAGCACAGGGGTACCAGGAAAAGTAAGAAGGGTCAAACGCGGCCCAAGCAGGCAGATATCGGCGATGATGGACCCTTGCCATGAGGTGGCTCGTTGCGGTGTATCTTCGACCCATACACTTATAAAGCCCCCTCGACCCAGCCCATCGAACACATCAATCCATTAAGACATAAGATATCCAACGAACCAAAACCGCTCGTTAGCCCTACTATCGCTATTACCCCGCTTAAGACGTCAAGTTCTTCCCTTTGGACAGCTTCAGTCGTTTAACATAGACCATCAAAATGCGTTTCTTGAACATTGTTATCTCGATGATGGCGTTCGCCGTTACAGCGCTGGGTACGTGTTCCCTTGATTCTGGATCATCTGCTCTGGACTAACATCAGCATGTCTAGCCATCACCATCACCCAGCCTCAAAATGGCGACCAGGTGGACTTCAGCAAGCCCTACACCATTAAGTGGACGACTGTGGCGTAAGTGAACACGGGCTCATTGACGGTTACACACAACTAAATCATGTCTTCGGATCAGATCTGACCCTTCGAACTTCACCATCATGCTGGTCAACATGAACAGCCAGCCCACCGTCAGCAAAAAGATCGCCAATGTCAAGACATCGGATAGCAAATACACCGTTGACAAGGTCGTCGGAATTCCGGTTGCGTATGTATCTTCAAGCGGCCCAGCCGCCTTGTTATGGCATATGTCGTACGACCCTAACAAATGCGCATAGTAATGGCTACCAACTCAACGCCGAATCCAATACCACCCATAACACCGGCATCCTGAGCCAGTCGCAGCAGTTCAATGTGACCAAGGTTGGCAAGGCTGAAACAAGTAAGGAAAATTCTATTTTATCATCATCATCATCATCATCATCATCATCATCATCACAATTATCATCATCTTCACCATCACCATCACCATGTATCCGCCCACGTACCAGCACCACCATCACAAAAACCACTTCCCGCCCCTGCATCAACCACCAGACTACTTCACCACCATCTAGCACCACTCCCTCCGCCTCCAAAACACCGGGTGAGTACGTACAGGATGTGAAGTAGACGGGTCTCTAACCGTGTTCTCTTTGCCTTACCTACAGCTTCAGCCACCACCAGCGCCACCCACACAGCTGCTGCGTCTACCTCCTCATCTGCCGGATCTGCCGCGTACACGGGCACGCTTCCTGGCTCCGCCGCCGTGATCGGTGCGCTCGCAATGGGCGTAATTGCCGAGATTCTGTAAGTGAAAGAAACAGGCACTTCGAAGTCGCACAAGCCGGTCAGCGAAGCGATCGATAAATCCGAATCGAACCAACCCGCACGACACGACTGCGACCCTCGTAACCTCGTTTCTCTCGAATGACGGACTCCAAAATTAGGACATGACATGCAGGCCAACCGACGCAGCTTCATGTTTCAGCGATGAGTGTAGTACTATCTGCTACTTGACCTTTTTCTTTTCTCTTTTCTTCACTTCCCCTCACACCTTTTCCCTCCCCCCGCTTTCCTTTCCCTTCCCCTCGTTCCTTTCTTATTGTCTATCTTTGACATCTTTCCACGAGTGACGTGATATTGGTACATTATGTGGTTTCCCTTGATGATACATAGTTTAAATGCGCAGATGGAAATGGATTTCAATACGGCACTGTTAAACCTTCTCTCGCTCTCCACAATCATTTAATACAACATTATAACCATGCATTTTTCCCTTTTTCTTTTTTCTTTTTTTTTTTTTTTTTTTTTTTTTTTTTTTTTTTTTTTTTTTTTTTTTACTTTCCTTTATTGCCGATGATTAATATGATACATCACCAACGCGGCACTCGCGATCATGCACGTCGGCGTAGGCAAACCTAACTCCTTAGTTCCCAGCAAGGGGGTTCAATCTGGCAAAAGACACTATCTATTAAGCTAGTCTATCTACAGTTGTCTGAACACACCTCAGCATTAACACAAAAAATCCCGACCAGAGTAATAGACCCCATAATATATTTATATGTACATCAAGCATGCAGTTATTGAACGCCTCAAACCAAATCAAAGGGAAGTAATTTCAACCCAGCCACCAGCTGGGTAGTATTTTACTGTGTGCTACCGAACGGAACAGGTCATTTACATGCAGTCACTGTCCCGGAGACTCCGTCGCATCTTAGTAGTTACCCTGTCCCACTGTATACTAGATTGTGTTATTCCATACTTAGCAGTACATACTACATATCGCAATGCACCCAGCCCAGTTCGTTATGCAATTGAACCACGCCCCAAGCACTACAGAAGAGGCAATCGGTTTCCATACAGTATCTACTACGTAAGTATATGTAAGTGGCTGCCTAATCTCATACTAATGGAATTAGTCTACTTACTGTAATGGCTGCATCTCACAGCCCAACAAGTAAGTGTGTAATGTGGCTTTTTTTTTGTCCCTCAAACCACTAATAAAGACTACTTGGGTAACACCTGTAAATGATGGAATAAATGAGTCCGGTATATGTCTCATTTCAATGGATGACAGAGATGTAGTTGGGAGTAGGAGGTGGTCATGGAAGTAGGTGTGACCGTAGCATGAACTAGGCCATTTAGTATCTAGACTTAGACTCTAGAAATTAATGCGATTAGGTAGAGAGTCAAGTTGATTGAGATCGAGTTGGACAGGAGTACTAGTATTACTTAGTTGCTTGATTGGGGAATTCGGTCTAATCCGATACTTGCGATTCTCGCAGGAATACTATACCGACAGTATTACGAGTCAAGTAGAATAGTAGGTGGCTGTTGTCTAGCTAGGTCGATTGGATAGATCTTATGCATTGCAGTAAATACTACTCTGTACTGCTACCGTGCACTTATCGTGTGTTTTTGGCAATAGCACATGCTCAGCTAATCAGAATAGTTCCTAATAATTACCGAATAAAATATGACGTTATGGGTATATTTCCTCATTTGATAGTTGATTACATACATATTTACAGAGCAGCTACGAGACTGTGAACTACTGATGAATGGCCAATTCAATAGTAATGTTCACAGTGATCCCATCATCGAGTCAGCACGACCAGACCCGGTGGCGCTGGCACTGATCGCCGGCGAATAACTGTAGTTGTCGTTAATGCCTTCTCGGGGACGATCCCAGGTACGAATGTGGCCTGGTTGATTGAAGATAAAGTCGTTAGCAATATTCTAAGGAACAATTCTGCGTAAAGGGGTTCGGGCTGCGAAATACCTTCGAGTGAAGATGTCATGATGGAGTCTTCTTGGAAGCCTAACCAGCAGATAGGGTCTTCGCCTACGATTTTGGACTGCGCGAGTTAGTTAGCCTTGCTGAAACTTGCGGAACAGGCTGGACGGGGTGGGAGGTACCATGATCGGTGGTAAGAGGGCAGTTCGTGCTCTGGGTTCCACCGGATGACGAACGGTCGGATCATAACTGTTATAGGTATCTGCGGTCTCCTGAGAATCAGACCGCGTTCGGTTACCTCCGCTGTCTGCTCGGTGGCGGTTGAGATGTTGAGTGTTCGAGACGATCATGCTGGTGCGTTGGCGGGCGTTGGCTTGATGCTGTTTTAAGGGTTAGAACACTAGGGATCCGTATCATTGTTGGTAAACGTACTACTCTCGGCCGGTGCAGCATGCCCACGCTGAAATCCCATAGCAGCAACCGACAATCGTCACCAACGCTACCAAACCTGTAAGTGCGGTCGTCGCAGCGCCATGGGTCAAAAGCTACCGCAGAGACCCAGGAGTTGTGGCCCTGGCAGCGTGCGACGATCTTGCGCTCTGGCAACGACCAGATCGTTACAAGATCGTCTTGGCCTCCAGTTACTATGTATTTTCCGTCTGGCGACCAGCAGACGCATATTAATCCGCCGTAGTAACTGCGGAAGATATCCAGAACCCTAGCAAGACGTTAGCCCACCCTTTCCTATACCGACAAGGTGGCGAAATAGCAGTCGCAGCATACTCTTCCTTCAAGTAGTCCATCACTCGTAACGATCCATCTTCTAAGACGACAGCCAAGTGTCTGCGGTCCGGAGAGAAGGCGAATTGCGTGATTTTTTGGTTGGCGAGTTTCCACAGCGCAACCGGATTGGTCTTCTGGTTCCTCGAGTTGACCGACTTCAGGATTTGCAATGGTGATCGCCCTGACGACGACTTCATCGTTTCAGCCGATGGACTGCCCAGTTCTGGTGCGAAAAGAGCGTCTTCTTTCTCCTTGTCGTACACCACCAACTGTCCGTTGGCATGAGCGGCCATAAACAGATTCTCTGAACCGGGGATCCATTTTATATGCGTCACAGGAGAGTTGTTGACGACCCCGTTCTTGTTGATACGTGCGTACTTTTGAGACATCGGCTCGTACCATATAATGTCTCCAGCCGATGAACCCATGACAACATCTATGTGCGATGTGCTCTTGGTTAGCTCATTGATATCATGACTTATCATGTGCGCTTTGGTGAACAAGATCTTAGTGACGGGCTCTTCCTTCTGCTTAGCGCTAAGGTCCAGCCACTGGAAGGCACGATTGATATTGGCAAAGGCAAAAAGACCATCCGGATTCCGATCGTTCAATCGCTTGGTTGCCGTCTCATGCGTAATGACCCGCGAGACGAATGACGAGCTGCTCTTGATGATATTGTTCTTCGGTTTTCTCCTCTTCAATCCTTCCTTGACAGGTGGTGCCGCTAGAGCTGGATTGCCATCCCCAAATAAAGATGCTGCCCCTACGCCATCCACGGAGGGTGTAGGAGTTTTAATCCGGCTACCGATGCTAACCAGTGAGAGCTTGACACCTGATGTCGGAGGCGCCGGAACGGTCGCAAGTGGGTTGGGATTCATGACGGGAGCTTCGGAGGGATGTGGAGGAGGGGTGGCTAAGTGTAGGTCATCTCTGAGGAGGTAAGTGCCTATCGTAAAGTCCGTCAATCAGCAAACCCAAGCAACTTTGCGGCAACGTGCATGAGCGAACATGCGCTCCTTCAGAAACACACCTTCTCCGGCTTGTAAGGAACAGCCACCCTCTGGATGGCTGATGATATTGTTGGTTTCTACAACTGGCACCGCCATGCCATTCGACGCCCCGGCCGCATAGGCGACGGGGACGGTATAGCGAGGCGGAGGTGGGGGAAGGACGCTGGATCAAGGAGTCAGCCAGGTGAAGGGACGCAAAAGAGTCGTCATAATAAATGTAGATAGGGCTGAAAGGTAGTGGCGCTCGTTGACCCTCCAGGGAATTGAGGGCCGGCCTATGATGCGCCCACGAGGCGGAGATAAGGGACCAAGGACGCTGATAACCGGGCTTTCAGCTTGGTTGGGAGGGCAAGTCTTACAACATGGCTGCGGATACCACAAGCAGGCACACCGGTCAACCAGCAATAAATTAAAAGGATTTTGGAGGGTGGTGTGACAGGGGCCTAGGAATGCGCGATAGGCTTGTCAGACAATCGTCGTAGCGGATTCCCTTCCCCCCCAAGAGCAGCACCCTTGACGGTGCCACTCAGGGTGGCTTGTAACGTTCCTAGGTTGTGAGAGGACTGGCTCCGATGGAAGGGCTGGAGGCAGGTTTGTCGTTGTCGTGCAAGGAAGAGGGCGGGACCGAGGCTCTGGAAATGGGCGAACGCTCTGCTGGCTAGTAGGACGAGGGAGACAATCGGAGCGGAGACTCGCGGGGAGGTCACTTGTGAACTTGCAGGAAGCTGGATATCGTTGGGTTAAATACCCCGGAGTTGAAGATGAGGAAGAAAGGGAGGCGGGGAGAGTCTCCAGAAAAGACCTTGCGCAATGGCCTTATAAACTGGGGGGATCGAGCGACGGGGATTTGAAGCCAGAGAGAAGAGCGAGCGGGCGGCCATTTCCGGGGTTGGTCGAAGTTGGCGCGTGGGGCCGCCAATCTGCCAGGCTTCAGTCAATCCTCGTCTTTCCCCCCCAATGCTAACGGCGCCAGAAACCCACACTAGTCCTCGTAGTCCAAAGTCAATCACTCTTACGTTGTGCCGCCCCCGGTTCTCTGGGGACTAATCTACTCTCGTGGCCGACATGGCAGGTCGAAATGAACGAGTGGATCACCAGCCGGAATTAGGCCGTTCATTATGCATAGTTTACTTCTTACTACTAGTCGGTTAACTGGCGATTTGCCGGCAAACACACACTAATGTCCCAACATACAGACTCAAGGGTATCTATTTGACTCCACAGAAATACAAGAGAGTCCCTCCCCCATCACACTCCGCTTCCACTAACTCTCCGCCAAATCATGACGGCCGCCGCTCCGGCACAAACCACTGCTCCAAGAGCAATTCCCCATGCCATCCATTTGCCTTCCACGTCTTCCTCACTCCGCGGGAAGGCCGTACTTGGCTCCATGGCCGCTTCTGCAATGTGGACAAACACCTCCTGGATGGAACTCCAAGTGGCACTGACATGAAGGGGAGGGCTCGGCATATTCAACATAGCAGTGTATTCGTGGGGTTGATATTCAGCCCGCTGAGTAGTCCGATCCAAGTCTGCCTTGAGAGCAATGAACACACTAGGCAGCTCCTCCAAGTGAGGATATTTGGCGCGCAGCGCTGGGATATATGCAAAGGAATCGGGATCTGACGAGTCATACGTGTACACGATGACATCGCACTGGTCCAGCAGTTTTACCTGATTCTCGAGGAGGGCAGGCTCCAGTTCCCCGAGCTCATCGAGGATGAGGTAGCACTGTTTCCCTCCCGGAAGCTCAACCGTGTTCACAGCAGTTCGGGGCTGGATAGTGGGACGATAAGTAGTACTGAATCCGCGGGACAGGAAAGCGTCGAGGAGTGCAGATTTACCTGAGCCTGCAGCTCCAAGGACATGACCAAGAACAACATTGCGGCCCACACGGCCAGGACGCTTGCGTCGCTTTCGCGGTCGCGTAACTTTAAGGGCTGCTGTTGTAGAAGGATTGCTTCGGTCGGACGACTCGAATCCCAGGTAGGCCAGATACTCCAATGTTGTTTTAGGCGACGTAAAAGTAGTCATACTCCATTGTGCAAGCCATCCTTGAAGCGTGACATGGCCAGCTTCGTTGCGGACGGTAGAGGATGGGAAGGAACCGTCCGCCCATGAAGCAGGCAATCCCGGGGTGGGCGCGAACAACGATGCTAGCTCAGCATCGTTCAGGCCTCCATCGTTATCCTTGTCTGAAAGCAGGAAGAGGTTCACAAAGAATCGATATCCCTCTGGCGAAAGCTCAGCCGACGCATAAGGGGGTACGTCAAACCTCGGGTGAAGGAAGTTCTCCTGTAGCGATAGGTTGTCTGTGTATTGGAAGGCTCGTAGGATAATCCAAACAGTCTCATGTCGACCCTTTTCCGCATACATTTTGTTCAGCTGCAAAAATCCGCGGCAATCGATGCCTGAGGGTGTCACTGAATGAGGGTGCGTTCTCTGAATGGTCTCCTTAATGTGAACCAAATCCTCCTCACTCAATGGCTTCTCAAAGCATCTCATTTGAAAATCCTTGATCTCTTTATCAGACAGATAACCATCCCTATCCTTATCACAGAGGTAGAATATTCGCTGCAACGCTGCAATGGCTGCCGGCTTTAGGGAGGATTCCTTGGAGTCAAACAACGGCGCAATCGGATGAGTCACTGCTTTCTGACAGAGAAAGAAGGCTTCGTTGACATTTCGATGTTCACGAGCGCTGGTGCGGATGCAAGAGTCGATTTCTTTGAACTCCGCCATCAATGGTAGCATTTCCTCCTCAATGACCTGGGCCTCGGTATGATCTGCGGCGAGATCGGACTTGTTCGCACATAGTACCACGGGGACATTGACCCCTAGAGAACGAAAGTATGGTAACCAGAATAGAGCGACTCTCTCATAGCTGTAATGGTCCGAATATACGAGTAGGATTACATTGGACTTCCGGATCTCTCTGGCCAGATTATTGCGCTCCTGCGGAAGAGCGGAGGTGTCCACCACCGTCGTTGTCGTGACATTCTCGGGGGTACCGATCGTGGGAGGGATGGTAATTTGAGGTAGGATAGGCTGGATTTTGTTTGTGACGAACACCCCCTTCACAAGGGAGGTGATGAGACTGGACTTGCCAGTGCCCTCATCACCACAAACGCAGATTCGCACTGAGATGCGGTTAGTAAGTAAATGATTGAGCAGCTCAACGTAAACATATCGAACCTGTAGCCATTTGCGGGTCTGGGAATTCAAGGCGACTGATGACGCCTTATCCAAATTATTGGGACATGCTTCGAGAAGCCTTTGTTAATATCAAAGTCAAACAGATTGAAGTCCAGGCCAATCGAAACGCGATGTCACTAAGGACTCGGTCGGCTGGGAACCACGCTGATCGTCGGGGTTTCGGCGGTGGCTGTGCCGTTCTTGCGGCCTCAGGTTCCAGCCGGTCGGGTTTCTTACCAGGTGTGGCTGGACTAGTAAACACTGGGAATGAAACAAAGCAGGCACAAAAGAGCTGGTGGAATATGTGAATGCTTCTGTAATGGCTCCTCTGTATACTACTTTAAGCTGAGTGAACTGGACAGTTATCAAGACAAGACCGAGGGAAGAAGCTGGTAGAAGCGGCCCCAGCCACACTCCCCGTATTCAATAATGCCGCCTGCGGAAGGTCCCCTCTCCGAGTTGAGTACAGCCCCCTCGATTCCCACGGTTGCTGGACTTTCCATGAGTCAGATGAGTATATTATTCATCGCACAGGAACAGCTTCAGAGAGCGATTTACACAGTCACCGAACAGTACAGGGTCATTGTGGATGGTGCAGAGTTTAGATAATTGAGCCTTATCGTTTGCGAATCGCAGTTGGTGTCAGCCGTCATCTGGTTCCACTTCCGGTCGCTCCCATAGAGACGAACAGCCTTCGCAGAACATCCTACTATCAACATCCTTCACTCTCCTTCCACTCCTTCTTTCCCTACCCCATTCCTCTCCTTAACCCTCTCTTCGCCCTCAGTTTCCGTCAAGCATAGCCAGAATGCCTCTCGGAATTCACAATCCGTTACCTTCATCGTTAGGAAGTATGTTCCGCGCCGTTTTCGTTCCAATTTCCCCGCAATTCTCTTAAACAGGTGGTTCGGCTGCGACTAACAATCAGACAGGCGAATGTAGAAAGGCGGGCAAAATCCTCGCCTCCTTTGTCGATCCACGACAAGCGTTTGGGCCCGATAAAGTGATTCCTCCGGAGATTTTGGCAGGAGCCAAGGTAATTAGCAAATTCAATACTGAGCCTGTTGCTCGAAAGTCGCACCGTCGCTCACGGTTTCTTCCCTAGGGTCTCGCCGTTCTTACTGTCCTGAAAGCTGGATTTTTGGGCTCAGCTCGGTTCGGTTCTGGTGTCGTCGTCGCTCGACTAGCTGATGGAACCTGGTCTGCTCCGTCGGCCATTGCCACTGCTGGTGCTGGGTTCGGAGGTCAGATTGGGTTTGAGTTAACCGACTTTGTGTTTATCTTGAACGATGCCGCAGCCGTCCGGACCTTCTCGCAGGTCGGGACCCTGACGCTAGGTGGAAACGTTTCGATCGCTGCTGGACCGGTCGGACGAAACGCGGAAGCTGCTGGTGCGGCTAGCACAAAGGGTGTGGCGGCAGTGTTCTCATACTCCAAGACCAAGGGTCTCTTTGCCGGTGTCAGTCTGGAGGGAAGCATGCTGGTGGAACGTAAGGATGCGAACGAGAAGATGTACAACAGCCGGGTTTCGGCACGCCAGCTCCTCAGCGGAACCATTCGACCTCCCCCGGGCGCGGATCCTCTCCTGACCGTATTGAACTCGCGTGCGTTCTACGGCAATTCCCGGAATGGTAGTGATATGTACAACGACATCCCCGTTTATGATGACAGCCATGACGATGTGGTTTGGGAGGGCCGCAGGGGCGAGGCGTACGGCGAAGGAACGCGGCGCGACCGCACTGGGTTCAGTGGCTCAGGTTCAGATGACTTCCGGGACCGGCCCCGCCGTGCGAATACATGGGCAGACGATATATATGATCGACCTGCTGGAGGGTTGAGCCGTTCATCGACTACTCGGTACAGCGGTCGCACCGACAATTACGACTCCTTCAACCGCAGCCGGAGCAATACCACCCCAATCGACGAGGACTATGTATATTCTGACCGCAAGCCTAGCCGACCCACAGCTCCAAAACCGGTGTTTGGACAGCGGACCGGGGCGGCTCCTGCTCTACGCCAGGACCAGGCCATAGCACTGTACACCTTTGATGCGGACCAGGAAGGTGACTTGGGTTTCAAGAAAGGAGACATCATTACCATCCTCAAGAGGACTGACAAGAAAGAGGACTGGTGGACCGGGCGGATCGGGAGTCGCGTTGGCATTTTCCCAAGGTAAGCAGGCCCGCGTTTCGCAGAAACCATGTCTTCCTCGGCCATGAAACTAATCATTGCTATTCAGTAACTATGTCGAAACTGCTTAGGAGTCGGCTTGTCCTAGTTGGACTCACGCGGAATGATATTGGACGATGCGAGCACTTTTAACGCCTTGTTCCTCTTTACGAATGCTTCGATGTTCCTTTCTTGTTTGGTATTGAGCTCTCTTGTCATCGTTTAAGACTCACCCCCTTTAGTTTTTGTTCTCTCTTTGCTTTTTCCTGTCGGCTTTCTAGTGTAAGCGCCGGAGTTGCCTGTTGGGCCGACCAGCGGATTCGGGGTGGCTTTTGAACGGATAAGTGACAAAACGGGACAGTTACACCTGTGTATGTGTTCTCTTTGGCGATGGTTCTAGCTTTTGGTATATGCTTGTGTGATAGTGTTGGACCACCTCTGGGTATACATAAGACTTCCCTCTTGCTGTTTTTTTTTTTTATTGGGACTCTAGGTTTATAACAGTCATAAATGGAATATTCCCTCATTGCTGCTGCGCCGAGGATGAATTGGTTGGACATGTTTTAGATGATTGCAGCGGCTACTTGGCGGATATGCTTCTATCCCTTGCGAGGAAGGGAGGATAAATGCGAATAAAGAAACGGGTGGCTGCCGTCAGAAAGCTCCGACGAGCGTCAAGGAGTCGTCAGCAGTCAAGCTCCCAGCGACGTTCAGGTTCCTTGCTCATTGCATTACAGTTAGATGCGGTCGGTACATTCCTCGGGAGACTCTCCTGCACCAGATTGAACTCAACCGGGACCCGTCCTTCTGGGCCATTGGACCTCGTGGAGCCAGCCCCTCAGCAACATCCCCGAAGTCATCGGATGAGGCCCGCTCGGCCAATAGAGGTCAGGAACACCAGGCACGAGACTCGCGACGGGTCTCACGCGAGAAGGCAGAGAAGCAGTGCGATTGAAAATTGAGTCCATTGTGCGACGGACTTGTTCTTTCTCTATGGTTTTCTGGAAGAACGGCGGCATGCCACTTCCATGCCAGATAATCTCCCTCTTTTCCTAATGCGAGAACGAGGCTATGGAAGGGAAGATAGTACGTCAGCTGAGAGTCTGAGCTGAAGATTACGAAATGACTCAGGCGATCATCTGTAGGTAAGTTAGACAGCAGGCATATGGGGAACCGCACAAGGTTTTGCAGCTGGTGAATGACGGTTCTCCCTGTCGATCTATGTATGGGATGCCGGGACGGACGCATCACCGCCATGGTGGTTACCACAAGACGAGCAACAGAATTTATGCAATAGACTTTCCTGACATTGCTCAGCCTTCTGAATTAAATCCAGTGCATGGATTCTGCCGTCAAATGATAAGCTCATTGTGTTTCATTGTCCTCAATTTATTTTCTCCTTCTCTCATCCCGTGATTCGTTGTCGTCATTCAGTAGATTCTAAACTTCTCCTCTTTCAATCTTTCCTTTGTCCTTCCATTGTAGTACTACTCTTTAAGTGTTCCGTGGTATCTCACTGCCAGTGCCTGCATTTAGAGGCGGGAGTCACCCTGATAGTCTATAAAGAACAGGGATCGACTTTGCATACGTGAGTGAGGGTAGTCTAACCAACAGTGGAGTAACAATCCCTCCTTGTGCAATAAAAAAAAAAATCTCAGCTCTCGGATAGCCAGTCCACACTGCCAGGTAGTTCCTCGATTCATGTTCTCCGAGCCCTAGCGAACTGGATAAGATTTGCTCCAAAGACCGTGCTACCGATCACTGGAGTCCACCAAAAAAAGCACGGGGTACTGCTGATCAGCGATCGCCCGAACGAAAAACCAAACGAACTGAACAGGGTATTTTACTAGAACCATCGAGTCACATTTCTCGAAGTGAACGGACTGTGGCCTGCCATCAAGATTGATCAGCAGTGGAGCATTGTGCTGACTAAGAGGGCATCTCCTGCCCAAGATCGATCCATCCGTGGAGAGAGCGAAAGTGTGAGAGCGTATACAGTTCGGTTCCTCCTCCTGTTCATAGGCCTCGGAATCCCCGATGAAGCCGTCGATGGGTCTGTGATAGAATAATCTCTCGCCTAAAGAGTCTGTCTTTCTCGAATTACTTGTCATAACCCTACCTTTTTTTTTTTTCCCCTGCTCTTGCGGTGTTGTTCAAGGCCGACCACCACTCCAAAGCGCGGCCAGCCCAGCCCAGCCAGACCAGCCAACCAAAGCACGGCGGCCTTCCCTCGTCTCGTCCACCTTCTCCAGGTCCTCTCGTCCCAGCACCGAACTACTACTTACTGTCCCAAATTCCCAACTCCCCCATCCCCATCCTCTTTCTAACGAGGAACAACTACCGCCCACCTCAGCGTCGTCACTCGCTCTTCCTTTCCATTTCTTTTCTACCTCTTCTCTCGTTTGCATCGCCGCCAAAATCGCATCTTCGGCCGCCGGATGCCTAGCCGTCATCGCCCGCCTCTCTTTCCTCTCATCACCCTGGTGGTTGCTCCTCTCCGTCGACGCTTCTTCCCCGCTCCCATGATTCCATGACTACCTTTTCTCTGCGTTGTCTTACGGCCCTGGTGGTACATTGACCTCCTCACCACCAAGCGACTTTCCTAATCCTTAGCCAACCCCGGGGCGTCTTCCTGTCCGGTCCCCCGGTTAATTTGCTCTCATGCAGGTGCGTCGCTTTCTTTATGTCCGCGTTCTACCCAAAAAATTTCCCCCCCGTTGTACCCCTCGCCTACAACAACACTCTGGGAATAGCCTAAGGCTGCTCCCGGCCTTCAGTCTATTCTTACCGAAAGGTTTACCTGGCGAGAAAGCATCTGTTGAGTGATCCGTTGTGGACCCTCCCAACCCCTGTTTCAATTGTATTATTGAAGGACTGTCTCTAAACATAACCTCGTGAGTTTCAGGCTTCACCGAGCCCCTCTGAGCCAGGTGGAGGATATGCCACGAAAAGAGGCCATGTACCTCAACTGTCGATCAGTGACCCTAGTCACCATGTCACCGAAGCCATTGGTCATATGTACGATGATGATTACGACAAGCGAGATTCTCGACGCCTCAGTTTCATATCCTCCCCGTTGAGCGAATCCATCACTATAATTCCCACAAAACTCGCCGGCTGCGAATCTCCTACCTCCCCACAGTCTCTACAAGTTCAAAATCACCTGAATGACCACAATAATCGGCAAGCGAATGGGCAGCCATGGCCGCATGGGGCCAAGTCCGCTGAAAGTAGCCCGACGTCTCCCGCGTCCACCACATCCCCCGTATCTACCGACACAGCCACAACCTCCTTTCCCTTGAACGACGTCGATTATGAATCCGACCCGGCCGCCGTAGCACAAGAGCTGAACAATCTAGCCGCGATCCGGCGGATGTCTATGGATGTTGCTGCTACGGATGACCCCGATCTCCCAAGCTTCTCCGTCCCATCCATAGCGCCCTCTCCCTCCGACGACGAAAACGATGCATCGCGATTGTTTTGGGTTCCAGCCCGCTTGCACCCGGAACTTGCTCCGAAGGAGTTCAAGTCTTTCCTTGAGAGTAAAACAGAACAGATTAAGCGGAAATCAGTCGACTTCTCTACCTTGGGCCCGGAGCGTGAAGGATCAATAGGGGGCTTGAGACGGAAGCGGTCCATGCTATCCAGGCAAATTGACACCTCTCAGGGATATACAGATGGCGCCGAGCGACTCGAACGAAAACGCTCCCAATCGAAACGCGATTCGTTAGGGCCCAATCTGCATGAACTAGAAACAATAGTGAATGATTCAAAGCCGCGAGTTCCCAACGCAACGAACATCCTCGATGGGATCCAAAAACTTGGCATTTCCACCGACGACGATAAACCTATCCTTCCGCCTGCACCTCCAAGCCACAGCCTCAGACGCTCGACAAGGACACAGTATAGGAAGGCTGGAAGTCTGAAGAAGGGCGAGAAGGCACCGTATTCGAAGCGCGTGGCTAGGACTTCGGATGCAGATGAGAAGATCATTTCGCCGACTACTTCGTCTGGAGGTCAAGCAGTCTTGGGGCTGACACGAATGTCCACCGACCCTACACCGAGTTCCACGCGAGCTCAAGCTGCGGCCAAGTCGACGCAAGGCGCACCCCAGGCCCCTAGTACGACAACTAGTACGACGACAGCCAGCTCCAGTGTAGACGAAGCGGTGGAACAATCACAACCAGCCAACGACCGTTCCTATGATCCAGCCTCATCGGATCCGTCGAACAGGGCCAGCGCACCAACACATTCACGACAATGGCACTCACGGATCAGCTCCAATGGACGGTCAACGGTGGATGTTCCGCCGTCAGAACAAAAGATACCCGAAATTATCGAAACGCCTCCTCCTGGGACTCCCACCACGCCTTCAACACCGACCTCACAGTCACATGCATCCCCGAAAGCACCCATGGGTCAAGATAGAATGCAGGAACGAAGCTCAAGTAAGCGCTCGGTAAATAGTCGCACTCATAAGGAGACCACACCCACCTTCAATGACTTCGCCAATACCCCACAGCCTCTTCCTGGAAACACCACCCGAACGGACAGCCTGTCCTACATTCCAACTTTCGAGGATCGCAAGGCCGACTCGAAGGAGAAGGAGAAGGAAACTAAAGAGTCGAAGAAGTCGAAAGACAAAAAAGATTCAGAGGGTGGCCGCAAATCCAGTTGGCACTGGCTGCTAGGATCCGAGGATAAAGATAAGGAGAAGAAGAAGGACAAGGACAGTGACTCTAAGAAACTCAAGGCCAAGCTAGTGGACAAAGTTCATGAGACAGCGCACGCTCTGCCTTCGTCCAGCGATTCCAGTCAGCGGGGCCGCGAAAGCGTTGCAGTGGATCGATTGGATCCCAAATTGGAAGAGGAGCGTCGCAAAGACAATGCGCGACGGACCTCCGGGGAGTCGAAAAAAGAGAAGGAGTCTGGACTGTTCTCCTCCATATTTGGCGGAAGTAGGAAGAAGAGCAGTGGTGACAGTAGCCATCACAACCATCATCACAAGAAAAGCGCTTCCCGAAACCTATCACCTGATCCGCCTGTGCGTGAACTGCGGCCGGATGTTGATTACGCTTGGACTCGGTTTTCGATTCTAGAAGAAAGAGCGATTTACCGGATGGCTCACATCAAGCTTGCGAATCCTCGGCGCGCGCTGTACTCTCAGGTCTTGCTCAGCAATTTTATGTACTCCTACTTGGCGAAAGTCCAGCAGATGCATCCGCACATGATGTTGGCTACTTCCGCTGCGCAGCGGCAGCAGCAGAAGCAACAAGAGGAGTATCAACAATACCAAAGATATCAAGAGGTCAGTATTCTGCAAAGCTGCTCTATTGTCATTGAAGGTTCTAACCGTTCGTCGAACTACAGTCTCAGGAGCAACAATATTCAGATAGTTCCTACGATGATCCTCAAATGTACGAATATACCGACGATGCGCAGGATCATTATGGCGCCCATTCGCAAAGTAGCAAGGGCGGCTACGAGAATGGAAATGCATATGGTCCGGGACATTACCAGTATGGTCACTCGACATTTGGCGACGACGTCCAGCTTGACGATGATGACGATGATATGTGGTGATGGGGAACAGACAGGTGATTCCCTCTATTGCTGTTGACTCAATTGCAGCGCACTAAATACCCCTTGTGCCACGTCTGGTCGGTTCCCACACTCTGTACACTGATATTAGCCTTTACTTCTTGTGTCATCCTCGCATTCTTTTTACTCCCCTGGTGGTGGACTCTTCATTTTCTATGCACAGGGCATATAGGGGTATACAGAGGAAGCCATTGAAGCTCCTCTCTTCTCGTTTGAACACTTGTTGTGTCAACTTATATAGTGGTCCGTTGAATATTCCACGATGGTAGGGTAGGGCCTGACATAGCTTCTCGTCTTGGGTTTCTTTGTTCGCATAGCGTCTGGGGTTTGTCGATTGTTTTCTGTCCGGCATCAACGATGCCTTGTTATAGAAGTCTGAATATTCCAATTGGTTCACAGATTTCTGTGACACCAGTACTCCAGTCAATCCTCGTAACCAGTGTGTAATTTAATATCTGCATGATGGTCAACTGTACTTCTATAGAAAGGTTGTAAAACCGGTCCCTCATTTAGACATGGTTGAGCCCCTAATCCACCCAGCATCTATCCTAGCCGCTCCAACTAGCTATACTAAAATAGCCCGGCTCCACTCGACCCGGCCAGCCATCGAGCCAATCACGTGACATGCATCTATCTCCCCACAGCCTCCACAGCGTCATCCCGACCTGGCTGGACGGAACCATCACTTCCCTTTGCCAACATTAAAAGGAGAACCAACTCACCCCAGTCCCTGTCGAAGAAGCGGATCAGGTAACCGATACAACGATATATTTCACACCATAATCAACGAGAAACGAATCAGCAGAGTATCGAGTGACGAGAAGCGACACCACTGAAGCAAAATGGCCGACGCCTACGAACGTGAACAGTACGATAAATCCACCCACACTCCCTTGACTATCCCTCTGCAAAGGAATTGAGGGGCTTTTGGGATGATCTTCTGATATATTCTGATAGACAAAACAATGCGCTCCTTAACTCCCTCTCGTCGAAGGTCTCCGCGCTGAAGTCCGTTACGATTGATATCTATGATAATGCGAGGGATCAGGATACGTTGGATCATTCGGTTCGTTGATTCCTTTTTCCTTCTATTTATATATCAGTTTCTTTGTGGATCTTATGTATGGGAGGAACTATGTCTGCATTGTGTACGTGGTCATGGAAAGCTGACAGTCGCTTGATAAACTGTCTAGAATCAAGTCTTCTCCTCCCTCTCCACGAATCTGAAAGGTAGTGCGAGTCGCTTAACCCGTATGGCGCGGCAGGGTGATACCGTTGCGGTGTTAAAGGTTGCGGGAATTGTGGTGACAGTTGCGGTGGCGATTTGGATTATTCTGGGGTGGATTTTCTGATTTGACTTGATACCGCAGTGGTGTGTTGGTGATGATGATGGTATGGTGATTTTATATTGTCGACTGGCTGGAGGATGGGTAGGTGGGTATAGGTTGCATCTGAGGTATTGACTCGCGGGCGAGTTGATACACTACCTACCTGCCTACTCGCCACCTGCATACTTATTTTATTTTCTTAATCACTTAGTTCATATTATTATATGGGAACGCGAGGCGGGTGGTTTGCGTTGCGATGTGCATAGCTTGTGTTTGACTTGTATTAGTGGCTAGGAAGGGACTGTCTAGAAGAATGTATCTGTATAGATCTGGGTAGCTTTCCAATTAACTTTCTGGATATTACAGTCTTTTACTTTATTCACGTCGCCTATGACTTCAATATTCCAGTGAATCAGGAATTTACTTGAATATATTTTATATTAATTACAGTCCTTTTCTGACTTCACTGATTAATAGCTTATAAAATACTTTTCTTACTTTTAGATTTTTCTTTCTTTCTCTGATTAATCTCTGACATCTTTCTACATCCTAGGGAAGCAGCTTAGAAGATACAATCTTATCTTAGTACTTTATATACTCTACAATAGTCTATGCTGGATACGAAGAACGAACTATCAGGGCCACTTAGGGAGCGCTTCTAGGGACGGAGCCCCTGCCAGATAGCGTAGCGGTCTGGCAAACAAAGACTAGCATTCTGAGCCACCAGGCTCAGCTGCGCATCCCTAATAAGCTTGCTCCGAGGGCCCTTCGGACCCCCTAGGGGCAGTCACATTGACCAGTGTGCCAAATCAGCGAATATATCATAACGATATCGATCAGTGTAATACTCCTCAAACTTACTGATCAAGATAATATAACAAGAGCCCTGGTATATGGAACATACAAAATAATACTACTTCGAACAATAATCTATTTTCTTGAAAAGAAATCAAGATTGATACTATATAACCTACAGCCCGTTCCACCGGTTAAAAGGCTTGATGAATTAGCTTCCTACTTCTTCCTGATATATATTTTGAGTAATCCCCAGATCAAACTGTGGAACCTGAACAATGATATTACTACTATTCAGACTCATGACTATTCAATCTTCGGCTGATTCATATTTATATGATCCTATACGCCATTCCTCAACATAAAATGAAAATCCGCCAGTTTTCTTCTAGCGTATAGAAGATCTTGTTCTTAGCCTGGCGTGGCCCAGCTTTTTCTACATGTTGACTAAACTGCTATTGATTCAGTACGCATCCTACGCATCCTACGCATCCTACGCATCCTACGCATCCTACGCATCCTACGCATCCTACGCATCCTACGCATCCTACGCATCCTACGCATCCTACGCATCCTACGCATCCTACGCATCCTACACATCCTACACATGGTTCACGCACAGAGTGATTCAAAGTTGGGAGAAAATTAGTTTCTACATACCAAATGGTATTCAGTTCATGTGCACTAAGAGAGACCTCCATAAATATCTATAGCTCTCTGACTTTTTCTCTGGATATACTAATCTTTTCTAATATTAATATTATCTATTTCTTTATTTTTTCTATAATCAGAAATATATTTATTAAATATTTTATTAATTATGATTTTATTATAATTTTACTGATTAATAGTCTAGAAAAAGATTTATTTTTAGTTCTTTTCTTAATTCTTCTTAATTATATTATTAGCAAATCTCTACTTCTCTAGAGAAGCAGCTTGACATATTTACTCATCACTTTCATACCATATGCCTAGTATGACTTATAGTCATGAAACAGAAGACGAAACTCAATGATTTTATAATCAGACGGCAGGACACCTTTCAAAACTTAGTAGACCAGAAAGAGGAAATATGATATTCCAACTGGAATATGTCCACGAGATACACAGAAATACTGGCTGGTCTAAAACAGAATTCGCTATGAATCCACGTTCAGTCGCTTATCTTTAACCAGGACTATAACCCGGGGCCACAGCAGCTACAACCAGATTATGCTCCAGCTAAAACTACTTCCTATAAAGATATCTTAAGTCGGCCTTGATCCACTACCCAAGATACCATGGTACAGACAATTCTAGAGCCCTAACTCAACTTACCCTGGGAGATTCCTTTCGAAGTGTTGTGCTTTTTTATCCATAACATAGTGCTACTACATGCAACTCAAACTTTATTCAAGAGCAAGTTGCAACTGCAAGCAACCTTAGATCTTTTGTGGAGTCCTCGTCGGAGGGATATCACCTTCGGTCTGGCTAAGAAGTACCGCGAACCCAAGACTCACTTTCATGTCTCATAGCTTGAGAATAAGAACCTCACTGGAACTGCTCGTTACGCTAAATTTAATATTTATTAGATATTGAGCAGTCTTGCTGTGATGATATGGAGTACTTATATATGATATACTTCACTTCTGCCGCGGTATCCATCCCTGGCGGGGCCTGAAGACTGCTATGCTACTAAAAAGAAGTGGTTTTCTATATTATGGAAAAGAAGATGACTAGTATCTCAGTAGTGAAGCCCTGTATTATGACTTCTTTACCGAGTTGCTTATTGACTTGAGTTCAGTCTATTCTTTTACAATCTCTGATAACAAGCCAGACTACTTCTATCTCCGCAAGATATTCCGCGATCTGTTCGTCCGCAAATCTTTCAAGTATGACTTTGCTCTAATTGGACTGCTTACAAGTATCAGAAGAGTACTGCTATGGTTCTGGATATCCACAAAAGGGATAAGAATACTGAAGAGCAGCAGTGCTGTGCTGTCAGGATGTTACTGCTGCGGTGTCCATGGGCATTTCCGGTGCCGCCAAGACTGGTGCCATCTCGAGCCAGCGTCATAAGGTTATCAGACGTGGATTTGTTGGAAATAGTCATTGAATTTTCATGAAAGGAGACGGTGTGGAGAGCATAATCACGCCGACTTATTTATTGCAGGCCTTGAGAATGGATTCATACACATAATAAGACGCTATATACGGTTAATGGAATAACATAAGCCAACGCTATAGATAGTTATGAAAATCATATGGATTTTCTATAGGGCCAATATAATTAGTGGCGTCAGCTCGAGTGGTTCGCTACGTAATGTTTTTAGAACACTTGCATGTGCTGAGCGATTTACGAACCACTTAAAGTACAATACCGGAAACAGCTCTATTGTTATATAGTACCTTCTGGAATACTTCGGCTTTCGCTTCGTACTCATTGCTGTTTGGTATAGGTAGTGTAGCTTTTTGTACTCAGTCTCGGGAGCTTGACGGGCATCTGGGTTATGGCTGCTGATAATCGATGGCATACGGCACCACGTACCATACTCGTCTGGCTCTCAATGATACCACACGATGATAAGATCCCTGGCTCGGGGAAGACATGATTCGTCTGAAGCAAAAGCCGAGAATACTGTAGATAGACCTAGACAGTAGAGATTGAAAGACATGGATAAGCTTTCGTGATAGGGACAAACGCCACCAATATCGCGTCACATCCATAGCCTCGTTTCACAAATAGATAACGGTTCCACAACATGGTCCTTTGCTTCTAGACCTTACAGGGCTGTTCGCTCACGGACTTTCATGACGACACGATGGGGGTGCCATCCTATCCAGATTTCAATTCTAGGTCTGCGTTATATACTGACCATTAGCAGCATCTGTTCACCAGCTGGATGGTGGCACCTGCAAGGATATGATACTTTCTGGGCTTCTGGTTCAGAAGGTTGTAGCTTTCCTCGGTAAGAGGTCCTAGCCATCGAACGAACGAGACCCTTCCAACATTTGGGTAAGAGGTTACGGTCTCAGTTACCTTTCGATCACAACGAACAGGCTCCCATCGTGATAGGTTAATGGCGATCCCGATCGCTAAATCAGCCGATCAGCCTTGATAAACGGGCCTATAGGATATCAGCTGGCAGAGCGCCCGAACGTCTATATGCGAGCGATGTTGTCATGTGTGTGTTCTGCTAGCAGCACGTCATGCATTCAACGTGTGAGAGCGGTGATCTGGATTGGATAGATGCTGATGCTACAGTACTTGGCCTTATCGTTCCTCGAGAGTCTAGCTCACCCAAGAGCTAGACGGATACCATCGTATCCAAAGAGCTAGATACGAGTATGAGGCACTGGGCAGTTCAAGAATCTTTGTTAGGGTGATGTGTAGACTTTCACCGTTCAGATCAAAGAACCGCAATTCAGATGGGAGTGTCAAACGATTAGAGTCTATGGATAAGCGCACATCGGGTAAAGGTTCGGTAGAGGACCTGAGAGTCATGCCGAATTAAGGTGGCAATGAGCTCAGGCCATAGAAACAGCAAGGGGCAGTGCTGACGATCATGTTGATACGTCACGGACACAAGTGCGACGGACTGAGCCGATCGATTAGACCTCAAGGTATAGTCACACAAGTGTTTGCTGGGATGTGTCGACCTTGACCTTCAAAGATGGATGATACCGTGTAACCATCCTTCTCTTCTTTGTTCGCCCTTTCGATGCACCAGTAACCACTGGGTTGGTATGGTTCCCAGGATGGACAGACAAAGTACGAAAGATAAGTGACTAAGTAGCCAGGAGGATTAACGTAATCAACGGTCGGACGGGCCACACGGTCAGGCGGGCCATCTGGTAATACTATACAAAAGATATCTTTTTAAACATAATATATCTCTACCATCCAGGTCTAGAAGAATTAGATTTCTTCTATATAGATTTTAAATAATATAAATAATATCTATATACCTTCTAAAAATGAATATACTTTTACTTATGGACTTATCATATTACAATATCTGTATTTATATGTATTATATAAGAATCTGGTTTCATTATCAAAGTAAAAATTCTAAAAATCTGAAAAATTCATGGAATACTTATTCTTATATATATAAACTATCTACAAAGTTAGAGCTTCATAGAAGTAGTACTGGTTGATATATAATAGAATCAAAAAGACATCTTTTATATGGGATTTCAGGATGGCCCGCCTGACCGTGTGGCCCGTTCGACCGTTGATTACGTTATCTAAGTGGCAGTGAAGGTCGAGACCATCGAGACAAAGTGTTTATAATGTAGATCCCGGGCAGACAACCGGCCAATTGTAAAAGCATCTGCCGGTGCATGGGTGGCAGCCATGGGGAGGGACGAGCTATTTTCCAGAGGGGGAGAAACACAAGTCCCTTAGCGCCAGGTATGACCCGGACGAATTGCCGTAGGGCCAGCAGATAAGATGATTGCTCGTATCGACCCATATCGGACAAGAAGGAAGAGTCGTTCTTGCGATCGCATAGCTCGGGTAAATAGGGAAATTTACTACACGAATGGGACGCGGTTCGGGCCACGTGCCGCTCAGGACCGCCGCCCGTTGGGTCGCAACACTGGAAGGAAATTCTCCGTCCACAAGCAACGGAAAAGGCACCATCCAAGGGAATTGGCGCGAAAATCATTATCCCTCATCCAGCACCCGGTGTACCCTCCTTCACCTTTTACCGACCTCCGATGCTCTAAACCCCTTGGGCGTCTACTTCGCATCGTCTAGTATCTGCACCGTCAAGCTTTTGCTGCATTGGGATCTCATGTCCGTCTAGGCATTCAACAGTGGAACCAGCGGCAACTTCCGCCTCGGAGATATTCACGATGGGTTGCTTTACTTCTGCTTTACTCTCAATTCCCTCCTGATTTGCTCGTTCATCCTCATTTTACTTACCCCTCTTTTGCCCGCGATTGCAGATGCTAAGGAGGGACTCCCGTCGTACTCCGTGGCAGCCTGAGAAACAGTGGTCAAGGAGCGGGAAGAAGATTCCCAATGGTCGTGGACAACGCACAGAGTCCGTGCCCGTCCCTGGTTCAGCCCATGGATGTTATCCATTGGTCTATCGCCTGAGACCAACGGTCGGGAATCAGGGCCCCTTGACTGGCTTGTGGCTGTTATCCGACCGGCCAATGACCACGTCAGGCCTCAGGATCTGGAAGACAAGGCTTTTCCATTGAGGCATTTCCGCGCTACGCTGTACCAATTGTTTCGCCAGGGTGTCCTGATACTGTTTACGAATCTGTCTCACAAACTTGCCACGGCAATCAACACCCTCAAGGTAGTCATTGATTGTCCTGTCGCTTGTGATTCGCCAACTCTGTGCGGATAACGGGGCAGCGGTTCGTATGACGGAGCTAGACGCCTTAGACCAAGTTACTACTCGGCAAGCCGAAGGGAAATTCCAAGGCCTACGGACCACGGCATTCCGTACCTAATCTTAGCTTCCGTATCAGCCTAGAGATGGTGAAACATGGCTGGCTGCACGTTGGCGGCCGCTTGCAGCATCAACCTTGGAAATCTATCACTCAGATGTCGTTATTAATCATTATTGGTCTTGATTTCAGAGTCTGCGTGCTTCCGCTGATGAGCCTATGATCGAGCTGCGTCACCGTTGGAGGAGCTTTGGCGCAATTAGCCATCGCCCGAGTTACTCAAATGGTTCTGGCCAGCAGGGATCATCATGGAGGCTGCCTACAGAAGGCTGGGTAGTGGGAAGGGGGTTAGGAAAGTCCAGCACAACCTGCAATGGCGGACTTCGAAGCCGTACTTTGAATTTTTGACAGTCGAGCCCCAAATCTGAGAGTGGGCCCAGCTCCCTATCTTGGCCCACATTATTGACTTTGCTGGCCTGGATGATGTGATCACAGGTTAGTTCTGCACATCATATCCATCTGAAAATTTGTTCTGGAACCCTGACTCACCGACTCTATCCGACTTCGATGCCCACTTCAACCCTGAAGTGTCGATACAATTGAGTCGTCCGTCACTTGCTCATGGGGAGTGACAACGATAGGGTGGGTCCTCTCATTCTTTTGGCGGTCCATGATCGCCGTCGCGATAGGACGCGTGCACCTAGGTCTCGAGCGCTCTTCGTGAGATCATGGTTTGCGTCAAGAGACCTTAGCGGTGTGTCCAGGCTACTGGGGGAGTTGCGGCCCGAAAGTTCCTTTCCCTTCAGCGGGCGTCACCATTACGGCAAGAAATTTTGGTAAATTTTCAGCTATGAGCACGGTGATTAGCTACGGTAACAATGTCCTTGTCAATCCACTCAGAGTTTTCTTTCTTCCCCCCGATATCGACGTTTGCGGTTGGCAGGACTCGTAATCGTGGTGATGCCGCTAAAAGTCGGGTCGCGGTAGTGGCGAGTATCGGAGTTATGCGACTCTCTCCGATCACATGTTGGGTGTCTCCCCGGAAGCACCCGACGGCGGTGTGTGTCCCGAAGCATACGCGGGTGGCTTATGAACAAAGTAATCTTAGTGTGAAGGGTCACTGAGAACTTAAGGTCAGGTACCAATGGAGATCTTATTGCTACTAGTATTGTTCAATTCTAGAAGCCCTATAGACGCGCGCTTTCACATGGAATTATCCAGCCCAGCTGGACAATTGCTCGTGTCAGCCAGCAAACCCTCGTTGCCAACCCCGGTCGGTGCATTCTTCCTCCTACTACATGTGGCTATCATCGTCGGCTCGCCGACGGTTATGTCCGAGAGCCATGCGTGTTCTGCAGTCAATGCTATGCACCGCAGCACTCCGCATGGGGTACGTACATCACTATTACACTCTTCAGGTCTGAGAACGACAAAGCTTTGTAGATCATCGTCAGCGGTAGCTACACCGAACAGGGAGTAGAATCAGTCATGGGCAGGAGCTTTGTTTTCTGCAGAGAGCAGCGCTGCAGAGCATTTCCTACAAGTAGGTTGGTTTCCGCAAAGAGCTATGAAGCGTCGTCGCTTTGCGTGTCTCGCGTCCACGTCAGGTCAAGGAATGTAACGCTAAGATTCGGATCCAATATGGGGCCCTCTGATTTGACAGTACCCCTCTGAATGGATCATTACGCGATTGCGATGTCCATATCAAGGGTTCCATAATCTCTTCCCCCTGTCCTAGATGACCGAGGGAATTGTATATTTCAGTTGGTGGTATCGCGGTAGCGTGGGCTAACCTGCCTGTCCAGGATAGCCGTGGTGGAGTTGCGGTCGGAAGCCAATGGTCCTGCCCGAGGAGATTAGAATGGATGCGTCGCTCTCCACTTTCAGGCATTGGCTTGCGAAGCTCGACTTAAATCTTGGGCTGGAGCTGGCGTTGAAGATGCATGCACTATGTAGGATTCTAGACTACTATAGGTACCGCGCCATGTTGCTTTGTTACCAGGGAAGGGTTGTACACAAGAGTGGACGCTGTCTCTTCTGCGATCTTATTAACCACTGACGTTACGCCTCTTACCGAGTTTCTTATCAGTGTCGGGGCCGCACATGGCTTGATACTTGAAGTGTCATGCCACCCGCGTAGGGCAAATATTTCTGCAGAAAGTACGGAGTGGTGTGTCCACAATGGAAACGGAAGGGGTGGGAAAGGGAGAGGGGGGGGGGAAAGCCATGTTACAACAACATATGACACCCAAAACAGAGCAGAGGGAGAGAGAGAGAGAGGGTGCAGGGTTCAGAGTAGCATGATAAGCAGATCATCTGGTGGGGCGTTCAGGAGTGACGAATGCTAGGGTGAATTGGTCACGATCTCTTGCATAGCACCTGCAGCTGGTATTGCAAGCTGTTGTGCGACAACCCTGCAGGATGGACGCGCAGTCTTGATGGCATCAGGGGAGGAGGGGGAGGGGTAATGAGGATGTCTGAGCACCTTCGGGACCATCCATCACAGATTTAGTTTACTCAATCCTAGTTTCTTCTGGGCACAGCTGAAGAAGGGCTGAAGGGTAGGATGATATCCCAGGATGTGCGCGCAGGTTTTCGCAAGACCGGCTGTTCCTGCGGAATGTCTAACCCGATTTGCCCCCCAAAAGAAGACTAGATCGAGAATCATGCGGGAAGGATGATCCCGAGGCATGCAGACACTATTGCACGGCGCAGACCAACAGAATTACTGGCTTTCCTTTTGCCAGGCAGAGGCGGAGGAGAGGGAGGGGAAATAATAATAATAATCTAAAAAAGGATAATAAATTAATGTTACTTCGATGATCGTCATTTGGTGATTATCATTACTGGGTTTTCAACCCATCAGGAATTAATGTCATTTGCCTTGTGATAGCCACCGGGTAACCGGAGTGCCGCCAAGGCCTAGGGCCGATCTTACGAGCAATGCTTCCGTGTAGATAAAACCGGACGATCCCAGACGATGATGGGCCTTGGGCAGGGTCTTGATAAAATAAAAGTCTTGGTATCTGCTCATAGAAGTCATTGATTGTGTCTCTCTACTCTATCTCTGTCTGTCACTGCAATATTAGCCAACCCACCCCACTTTGTGTGACCAACTCCCACGAGGGAAAACAGAAACAGAATAATCAAATCACACACTTATCGTGTGATTATTACGGGTCGCGATAACGAGTGGGAGGATCACTACTATCGAATTGATCTAGCGGGAAAAGCACACCGTGACAGTTCACCCCTCCAGCCTTGTTTCCCTTACGAAAGGGAACCCCCGTGGCATCTGGTTCCTGCGCCCGCGGCCTTTTCTCCGGTATGTTGGTGATGTAACGTATTCAGGC